TGCTTTTTTAAAAATGTATTTATTTATTTATTGCTATTGCACAAGTGATTGTAGCTTGACACATTCATGACACTAAGTGGCTAGAAGCGTATCTAGGGACCAAATTAGCTCTGGTCCAGTTAGAATCAACAGTACAGTTCAGATCATCAATCCTATTTGACTTATGATCTGGAAAAAAAATAAGAACCTTCAAATGGACTTGAAAGAAATGTGTCATTACCATTTTTCCAAATGCGGGGCAGTAGGGATCAAACCCAACTTCCAGTGAGTCATATAAGAAAAGACTTCAGAGAGCTGAGCTTCTAACAGTGTAGATCTCTTTCAGAGTGCTTTTTCTGTTGATCTCAGTGATTGGGCAGATTCACATCAGGAAAGTGATCTCTCACATAGCCAGGTCCTAAATCACTGAGGGATTTAAAGATCAGCAGAATGTATCTTTTTCCTGGAAAGTAATTTCCAATCTATGCAGACCTTTCAGTGTATATGCAAAATGTGTTCACTGTAGCCTAGCCAAAGCATTTTACGCCATTTGCAATTTCTGGATTGGCAAATCAATTCCAAAATCTTGCCAAGGAAACTGTAGGGACTAGTATGTCAGTGGTCAGCCAGGGTTTCAACAGTATCAATGATGAGATGGAAAACTCATCAAACACATTCAGGAAGTCATCTTGATCTACTGGGTAACCACATCAGACCATTTAACCACTCCTCCTTTTCTGCAGAGATTTGTAGCAGCCACCAATTTAAAAGTCACAAGAAAGAGATCTGACCATGACAATAGAGTTTTAGAGAGCTCATCCATCAGCAGATTACCTGTTTTAGTCAGTCAAATATCAAATCTAATGTGTCCTGCCAGTCCATGAGACTAGCTTATATTAGGGCAGTGGTTCTCAACCTGTGGGTTGGGACCCCATTTGGGGTCGAATGACCATTTCATGGGGGTCTCCAAACAACGCAGTCCGCCATTTTTTCCCCCTTTTCCTTAGCTGTGCTACTCCCTTTTATTCTATTGGCTTTTGAAAGCCAATAGAATAGACTCTCTTGAATAGAGTCTAATTTATTGGCTTTCAAAAGCCAATAGGAATTGTCCAGGCTGTCTCTGCCCTGCTGAGCCCGCCAAAAGTCCCATTCTGCAAACGGTACTGCACCAGTTGAGTAGTCCTCGACTTACGACCGGTTGAGTAGTCCTCGACTTACGACCGGTTGGGGGTCGTGGCATTAAAAAGGTTGAGAACCACTGTATTAGGGTCACATTGCATGACAATCATGAAATCCTGGGGCAACCTTAACACAAACTGAAGTTTCTAAGGACAAGATATCTAAGCTAGGTCACATCAGCTAAGTTAGGAAGAGACACTGTGGTGCAGTGGTACACATATTCCTATATTACCCCGTCCAGTACAGTATGAAATGCTCAAGAAATGAAATGAAACTATAATTTCTAACTAGTTACAGACACATGGAATGTTCGGAGATATTTGTTTTTCTATCAGACTGATAGTTTCAGTGAAGGCCACAGAAACTAACCCGAGGGTTTAATATTTAGAATAGCCTACCCCAGTCTGTTGACTTCCAATTATTTATTAATTAATCAAATTTATAGAGCTGCCCATCTCCCAGAAGATGATTCTGGGAAGCACATAACATTAGATAAAACAGCTAATATAAAAAGAACAGATAAACATCTAGAAAAGCACAATAATAAATATCATAAAAACAACTATACTAAACATAGGCAAAGAGAGGATAAAAATGGTCCCCCTCAGCAACATAACCAGGTTGATGGTCTTTTGGAATACCAAAGAGAATGGGCAACTCTAATTCTTTGGGGGGGGGGGACAGGGGAATAATGTTCCATAAGGTAGACACCACACCAGAGAAGGCATGTCTCCTGGGACACACTGATGATGGGTAGGTCCCTAGAACACCTTTTCTTTAAGATCTGGTGGGTTGAGATTACCAAGAAGGGTTGGCCCCTCTTTAAAGGTTAAAACCAGCACCTAAGCAAATTAGCAACCAATATAGCTCATGGGTCAGAGGTGTAACATGCACTGCTCTAGGACTGCACATAATTGCCCATACCACTGTATTCTGTACCAGCTGAAGCTTCTAGATACTCTTCAAAGCCAGCTGCATGTAGAGTGCATTGCAGTGGTCCAAGGTGGAAGTTGACAAGAGCATGACTGACTATAAGTAGGGCCTGCCAATCCAGGAATGGGTGCAATTGGTCTGCGGTTATGTTGGACTACAGTTCCCATATTTTCAATTCAGAAATTTGTTGGCCATGCTAACTATGTATTATGACAACTGTAATTCTAGTACACCTGGCAAATATCAACCTGAGAAAGTTTGCATTAGAAAATTGCACAAAGACTCGGAGACCTAGATTCTAATCCCCACTCAGCCATAAAGCTTGCTAAATGGCATTAGGTCACTTTTTCATTATCTGCCTAAGCTACCTTATCAGGTTATTGTGAGGTCAAAATGTGTACATCAACCTGAAGTCTTGAAGAAAAGATATGTAATAGGCTTCCATCTACAGATACGTCTGTCTCTCTCTCTCTCTCTCTCTCTCTCTCTCTCTTTCTCTCTCTCTCTCTGTGTGTGTGTGTGTGAATTTAGTTCCACACATGACACAAGGAAGAGTGTGCTGGTAAGTGTTGCCTTTAGTACAAATATTCAGGCATTAAATCTTACTGATAATCTATTAAATATCATAGCTCTTCTCAGTCCATTTACGTATTATTTCTTTCCATCTCCCAGAAAAACTGCATATATATTCAAGTGCTCTATAGGCAAAAAGATAACCAATAAAAACAATAGCAAGAATAACAGTACCTCAATAAAATAAAGTATATGCTTGTTTACACCCAACATATTTATTCATTTACACTCAAACTATGTGTGCGGGTGTGGGTGTGTGTGTGTAAACAAACCCAGTTATACCTAATATGCTAAATTATACAAATATACTAAAAGCAACTGACAGCATCCTATTTCATCCTTGGGGACAAGACCTGATGCTATTGTGGAGAAAGGTTCCCCACTTAGGACCCCTTCCCTCAGAAATCTGAAAGTAGCTTGCATCTGCCAAGTAGATATCTAGTGCTTCAGGTGTATTAAAGTGGAAATTATTTTAATGACAAGAGGTGTTTACGGCCAACTGGTTCCAAAGGCAGACCCTTGCAACGAGAGGGATGGGGGGAGAGAAGTGGAGCGCTCTCCAATTCAATGAGCTACTAAGAGGAAGGGAAGGTTACAGTTGGTGTGAGCCACTGAAAAAGTCTCTTTCTTGGCATAAAGCTGGTGTCTCATTCACATTGCTTCTGGGTGTGGATTCGTTTATGGCAGGGGTGCCCAGAAGTTACCGTGTAAACTTCGGTGTAACTACCTCCCTTTTTCCCTTAGGAGTGCCTTCCGCTTAGGGTGGGCAGCGGCGGCGGGGGGGGGGTGTCATTTTTTTTCTTAAAGAAAGTTAGCAGCCTCTCTCTTCCAGGGTCCCCCCCCCCGACCTTCAGAAGTGAGAAGCGGGTTGTCTGAGGTGTGTGTGTGTGTGTGTGTGGTGTGTGTAAGGACGTCTCCCTAAAGCCGTTTCGGATTTTCTGTGAGAAGTTCCCTCGCTTTCTTCCTCCTCGCCTGGCCCCTGCAACTCTTTTGTGAATGGGGCCAGTGCAACAGGCGGCCTTTCACCCCGCCCAAGAACCAATGCCAGACAGCCACACTCGGAGAATTGTTTGTTAATAGTCCAATTAGATAATTGCCATCTTTCACTCCTTTCGCTCTACATTTCCCATAAAGGCCTGAATGAGGAGAGCAGCGTGAAGAGGGCTTCTGCCCTGCAAGGTGACACGAAAGGCTGGAGCATGCTCTGTGCACAAAGCCAGGCGCTTGAATTGAATCATTGTCGTCTAATCAATGGTCTTATTGGATTACTGGCTGTTGCGGTTCTCAAAGATATTGTAGCGGAGACAATGAAATAGCCAGGGGGAAACTTTTCTCTCGCTCTCTCGCTCTCGTTCTCCCCGCCCCCTTTAGTAGATCACGCAGTTGAGATCTGCCCCGCACTCTCCTCCTCCTCTCTCTTTCTCTCTCTTGGATCCATTTGGATACAAAGCAGGCTTTTTTTAGAGGCGGGAGGGAGGAAGGAAGCTCTGGAAATGTGTTCAATTTTTATGAAAGGCGTGCAGGGGGACTGGGGGGGGGGCCCCTACATGTATCAGCATTGAATTAACCAGAGAAAAGAGTTGCAAGATGGCTGGTTGGCAGTAGAGAGAAGCGTTTAGGGGACCCCTCCGATGTAACACCCTCTTCGCCCCCTTCTGCCCATCTCCAACGGAGAAACAAATCGTTTCTTATTTCTGGGATCTGGAATCCGTACCAAGACGAGCCTCTCTCTCCCTCCCCCAAACGGTTGACAGGGTTTCCCTTTAGGGAGGTGGCTGTTTGCAGAGAAGATCTGCCAAGATCCTTTTGGTACACTGGCGGAGCCTTTTCCAGATCTATTTATAAATAGATTTGTATTTCTGTCTGAGGCGTGTCTGGGATGAACGCATTCGGAAATCGGGAAAGGTGATCGCCAAACTGGAGAAAGTTAATAATGGCTGCTAATGGCCCCTAACAATTCTGGCTGAATCTTGTCAAGAGTTTTTTTCTTCTTCTCTTCCCCTTTTCTTCCCTCGCCCCCTCTCCCGCTCCTTCAATTGATCCTTCTTCTCGTTCTCCTTCTTCTCCTTCTGGAAATCTCAGCCTTTTGATTGTGTGTTTCCTGAAAGCAAGGCCAATCATTTCAGTTTATTCACTGGCTAAACTCGACTTGATTGGGGACAAGCATACAAACCACCCATTACGAAGTGATATATTATCCAAACAATTTAGTGTATTCATGAGGTAACCTAAATGTGGAGGCAGCAAAATTACCCGTAATCAATTGAAACAGCGAGTGCGCGTCCCTCTGGGTGTCTAACCACTGCATCCCTCTCTGTAATAAGGGAGGCATTAAATCATTTTAGAGTTGCACTGTTGAGTACCTGATCATTGGGGCGCGGGGAAGCTGGACACTCGCACTAGGACGCTGGGATTGAGGAAGCGGCCGATTTCCTGCCTCTCCAGCAGACGAACCGACTCTCGCCTTCGAGGGATTCGCTTGTTACTCACCGAACTGATCGTACGCCGGGCGATATTCAGCAGATTTCTCTTCTTTTCCTCCTCCCCTCCGCCCTCATCCCGCGCCTCTCCCTCTCTCTCTCTCTCTCTCTCTCTCTCTCCCACTTAAAAAAACAAAACAAACCCCTACACCATATTGCACTACATGTTTGGGAAACAAGACAAAATGGACGTTAGATGCAATTCAGAGCTGGAAACCAACCGGCTCTCCAAGAACGGACATAAAGAAGGCAAGGAAAGCAAAAGCTCCGAAGGAAATATTTCGAATTCTTTTTTGAAGGAACCGCAAGGGACTTTTTCGGCTTCGGGCGTCTCGGAAGACTGCAATAAAAATAAATCCAGTTCCGCTGACCCGGATTATTGCAGAAGAATACTAGTCCGAGGTAGGACCATCGCTTTACGTTCTGAAATTTTGATTAATGACTTTTTTTCCCGCCCGCCCGCTTCCTTTCCTTTCGTTTTTACTTTCGGTTTTTGTTTTTATTTTGTTTTTCGTTTTTCTTGTTTCAAAATCAGATGAATGACTGTGGTTTCCTAATGGCTTCACTCCTTTCTTTTTAGCGCTTTCGTTCTCGATCTGTTTCTCAGGTCTAGGAATATTTTTGCAATTTGGATTGTCAAGGATTGTGAAGGGCTCCATACCCAAACCTTACATTTTAGCTGGGGCGGCGTGTTATACAGACTGTCTTTTCTTTTTCTCCGTCTTGAGGAAAGGGAAAGCTAAAATCTACCTCAGTTGTGTTTCTTCTATAGTTTTACCTTTGCTTTAAGGGCAGGAGAGGTTGCTAAGTCCTGTTTTGATCCCATTAGATTCAGCCTACAATTCTTTGACTACTTGCATTCGAGTAAGACCCACCGGATTCAGTACAGTAGAACTTACTTCTCCATAGGAGTTTTCAGTCACAGCCTTTGGCAAAAGACTGCTTCTTTGAAATTTCTCTCCGCCCTCCAAAAAAAGAAAAAGGGGAAAGGGGAAAGAAAACCACCTCCAGTGCTTAAGGTAAGCAAAAAAGAAAAGAAGAAACGGAGGAAGAAAAATAACCTCTGGAGACTTATTCAGAAATGTACTGGACGCTTCTCTTATTTTCAGCCTATTACTTTTGTTCCATTCTTTGGAAATTCTTTCTCGCCTGAGGACATAGCGGACCCCCCCCCAAGACAAGTCTTTTCCTCCAAGCATTCCTTACCCTTGAACCCATTCCCGCTCAAATATTTGGCAGTTGCAGCTTTTTTGATAGTGACTTTACAATACCAAAATCTATCAGAAAGCGGTGTAGTAGGGAGATGTTTGCTGCTGTTATTCAGTTAGTGCAATTTTAGCACGTTTACTTAAATGGTTTATGGTACTGTTTAGTTCCTTGATATGATTTTCTTTTGTTTTTATTCTAACCTGGATTATTATCTTCTTTCCACCTCCTCCAATAAACAACAATGGAATAATTTTCCATTGCTATTAAAATTAAAAAAAAACTAACAAGTCAGTTTTTCATTTCTGTAATTGCATATCCGTGTGTGTGCTTGTGCGTTTAAAACAGATTTTATTCTGCTCACATGTGAATGAATGAAAACCAGGCCTGGTAACTCATCCAGGACACCACCACCACCCCGTTGAAAGAAGAAATCAAATCTTAGAAGTCTAGGCTTGCTTCCTCACAGATTAGGAAAATTACAGGGGGGGCAAACCCATAAAGGAAAACCTGGTATGTAATTTGAATCAGATTATACTTCACCGGCAAGAGACTAGTGAGATTTGCAATGTTGTGGCGAGATCAAGGTGGAGAAGAAAATGGACAGCCATGAAGGGCAACTTGATTTTCATCAACATGGAAAAGCAGGTAGCTCCAGAGAGAGAGAGAGAGAGAGAGAGAGAGAGAGAGAGAGAGAGAGAGAGAGAGAGAGAGAGAGAGAGAGAGAGCGCGGGCACGGGCTGCGGAAGGTGGACATCACAGCTCTCTTGAGATGGCTCACTTGAATGCTTTCCCTGTAGGGAAATCTAGGGCACTCAAGCAGGTGTGAATGTGCAAGGCAGAGACTGCTGGGCATAGGCCTCTGGTGGTGCCTAGGCGGTCTTGAAACCTGTGAGGTTCCTTTGGAGTTCTTTGTGTTAGAGCTCTTCCCTTGGGAGGGAGGATGGCGTGCTTTATAAACCACAATCTGAGAATGTGGGGCAGGGGCTAGCAGGAAATTCTGGAGACTCCTTCAATCCCTGCCAAGAGTCTTCTTGCTCTGTCTAGAGTGGCCTCTCCAGGCAGTTCTTAAAAGCTGGATCCATGAGCCACCCATCCTTCTGGATCTAAACATGCCTCCTTCTCTTTTTGCCAGATGCCAAAGGTTCCATCAGGGAGATAATTCTTCCAAAAGGGCTTGATCTCGACCGCCCCAAGAGGACTCGAACTTCTTTCACTGCTGAACAACTTTATAGGCTTGAGATGGAATTCCAGAGGTGCCAATATGTGGTTGGACGGGAAAGAACAGAGCTGGCCAGGCAGCTCAATCTCTCAGAAACTCAGGTACTAAAGATACAAACGTATCAGTGGCAAAAGAAGGTTTGGGAACTGGGGCGATGGCTCCAGCACTACTCTTCAGCAGGAGTGTTCTCTTCCCTAGAGATGAGGAGGTTTTCAATTACTACCAGGCCCAGAGGACTGTAGCTAACATTTGGGTAGCTTCCTACATGGGTGTGGTTGGTGTTGAAGACCAGTCTTCCTTTTTTTTTTTTTTTTTTTTTGCAGCTAACCACCCAAAGATGGCCAAGCCTAAACTTAGGGCACACAGCAAAATCCCAGTCTTTTCATGCTTTTGCAGGTTTCCTCCTTTCAAAGAGTTTTTCAACTTGATCAGCATCTAAATATCTGGAAGAAATGGAAGCTGTTGGTTCAATAGGGCGTGAATTGCCTCCTGAAACGCCAGAGGTTAAGAACCCAAGAAATAAATTGGCTCAGGGAAATGAGGAGTTACTGCAAGTATATAACTTGTTTTTAAGTCCACAAATATTGTATATACTCTGTAAGCATTTAATCTGAAAAATTAATTAGCCTCTAAGATAATTTTTGAGAACTATAGAAACAGTCCTGTGTACTTATACACAAGAATCTTTGAAGAAACTCCCTTCCCACAAACACTCATAGCTCAGATAGTGAGGGCTTCTAGAAGAGAAACTTGGAGGAAAAACTACAGAAGTTGCAAGGATCTCCTCTCAACAAAATAAGACCAAATCCCAGGAAAAAAGTAAAATTTCAAATAAAATAAAATAAGAATTTACACTAAAATATCACTTAAGAGAATCCATAGCTTATCGAAGAAACAGAGTATTTCTTGGAAGTGGAGTATTACCCAAATGTTATTTTTCTTTTACAATAGTCAATAGGGCTTTTCCTTCCATGCATTTAAGGGTACAACTTAAAAGCCTGAAAACCAATGTGCTGCTTTGCTGGGACTTCCACCAGGTGACAATAGTACTTAATTTATGTGGTATTTCAACACATTGTTAGTGCTTAAAGAGATGTTGCTGTTGTGGATTTAAGCAATTTTGGGGTTCTAAAAATACTGATTTCTGAAGAATACTTATTTCTTCAGAAGTGAGTTGACTTTAATGGTATTTCTCTATTAAATGTGTGCATATCTAAGTATCACTGTTTACAATAGGATACTGGGCTGTTTGTTCTAATACTGTTAAAATTAAAATAAATAGAGGGTATAAGAATGTATTCTGACTGGCATACTGAAAAGAATCCCAGCAGTATAGATCTCTTTGCAGAACTTTGCTGGACTTAACCTTTTTTTTGTTTTTGTTTCCCTAGTTTTGTACGTTTGACCAACAACTATTACCTTTTTTAAAAAAACACAAAAAGAAAAAGAAAGCAAGGAGATAGTGCAGGCCACTGCTTGTGTTTTTGAATAATTTAATATATAATAATTTCCCTTAATTCAAGGAACACATTCTCATGCGAGAATGAATAGAACTGTAACGAATAGAACTGTTTTCTGATCAGGCGTATGTAGACATGCTTTAAGAAGATATAGTTTACTTTTAGGTGGAAGCATCTGTTTGATTTTCTTTGGACTGAGAAATCAACAGGATTGGGGCTATTTAACCTTAGATGCCTTCATGGAATTCTGAGTTGTCGGCTAGACAAGAAATAGGGAAAATATTCAGAAAATAATAATGGCAAAACACTTTGGCACTGCTCCCCCAACACAAAATGAGGTCATCAGAAATTTCTGAAGTCATCAGAAATTGAGTTCCATTTAAAGGAAACAGCTCTTTTAAATGGGTATCCAAGTATTTTCCTTTCCCTTTTCTGCCATATATGTGTGTGTGTGTGTGTGTGTAAAAAGAGAAACCAAAACAGCTTAATATATAAATAAATGCAGGGGTCAGAATAGCAAAAGGCTATTTTTTTTTCATCCATGTTAAAATGTTCAGATATGCTTCCAGAAATGACCAAAATCCCCTTCCCATTCCTTAAACCAACCTTGCTAGATGAAGATTTGTTGAACTCAAATATTAAGCAAGGATTTCACTGAACTTCCTTTGGTCTCATAAAGTTACTGCCTCTATGGATTATGGATTTTGTTTTCCTCAACATTATCACTTGACTTGTTTTTCCTGTCTTGAATGAGGAGTCACAGGCACAACAGCAAATGCCCATTTACTCCCATCAAGGTTTAAATTCTTCAGTTTAGCCCAAATTTTGCCATTTGTGGTAGTAATTCTTCTAAGTACCTCTTTATAGTGAAAAATACAACTGTGTTAAATATCAAGGACTTTGTTGCTCTTTCCCCGGATTCCAGATTAGCTGTTGGAGGCAATGGACAGAATGCCTGGCAGTAGGGCCGACAATGACAATGAGATCAGCCCCAAATGGGTCTGCTCTGATTTTGAAAGCCAAGTTCTTTCTTTCATTCAGTCATACAACCTGAAGAATAGGCTGGGGAGGGGAATATGTATGAAAGGCGGGGCCATTTTCTGCATATGTGTGTTTATATACTGTGGGCACAGGTGTCTGTGTGCATACCATACAGAGGCAGAGACATTTATTCCCTTCCTGCAAGGGAAAAAAAACCCATCTAAAAGCTGTACTTTGCTAAATAAAGAGTTGGTGAGGAAGATAATATAATATATATTATCTTATAATATAAGTTAATATAAAATGCAGGGTTTAATTTTATGATTTAAATAAAATGCTTTGAGAAAATTGAAAACTGTTAAGTCAAAATTTGAAATAGGTGGTCAGACTCAAAAAGAGAAACAGATAAATACTTACCAAAAGTATTATCTATACTTGTTGCTTTTAAATATATTAATTTAAGAAATAGAATGAAATTTGTTGTACATTTTACACACACAGAACAAGAAGAACTAGGATAAAATGTAGGTGTGGCTTTATTATTTCTATTTGAATCATCTGTTAACAGGAAGGGATTAGTTTTATACTTATTAGAAAAGATGTACTATAATGAACCTCTCTGACAAGCTAATTAGCATTTCTTTGCCTATCAGATTTAGCCGGGTTGGTAGGGTTAGTGGGCAAAGGAAAGCGGCTGTACAGCCCAAACACGGCCTGCCATAGGAATCTAAGTGAAGGATAGCTGGGAATGGCTGAAGTAGCTGACGGATGCGCTACTGCGCTCTGCCTTTCAGGGGAAAACCTAAATTAGCCAAAAGCTGTTGCCCGCAAATGAGACCTTGGGATAAAAAATGGCAAATTTAGGTAGGAGTGCCTAAACAACGACAAATCAGCATGCATGAGAGACCTAAGAAGATAAAGTATTTAGAGGCATCCTTTCCAAGGTACACAGGATGTTGCCTGATTTCAGTTAATTCGTTGTGGTTTCATTCCCCCCCCCCAAACTTGTTTCTGCAAACTCCTAGCTGTGGGGATACAGGCTTAGAAGGTGTGGAAAACGAGGCACGGCGGCTTCCTCCATATAACTCTTGTTTCACCTTATTTTGTTAGAGATGCCATCCCCGCTGCTCAGCACATGCATATGCACATGCCGAAGCTTTTCTGGCCGCTTCCTGCGGCTTCTGAAATAAGCCCAAAACAGCCTGAGTCCACAATACACGCATCTTCGAGGCTCCGAAGGTTGAAACCTTTCAGGTTTTTGCAATTCCCTGACACTCCAGTAGCACTTTCCAGAGTGCAGCCTGGCTTCCCGATCCTTGTGGAAAAGGAGCAGACTTATATTTGCTCCCTGACATCCACGCGCTCCCAGCCGGCTGCACACGCGCACACAGAGGTTTCCGCCGCAAGCCGCTTGACTCCCACGGAGAAATCTCCGTCCCCCCGGGAACTCTCCAGTCGGCCGCTGTGGTCCTATGGAGACTTCTGGAAAGAGGCCGAGAATTGCGATGGGAGGGATAATGGCGGCCTTTTCTCTCTTGCTCCAGGCCTAAGAAGGCCAAGGCCTTTGCTAGGCCCTGCTAGATGACGCTGATTTTTGTTCTTCTTCCCTCGCCTCCTTGCAGGTCAAAGTCTGGTTCCAGAACCGACGCACAAAGCAGAAAAAAGACCAAGGCAAAGACTCGGAGATGAAGTCGGTGGTGTCCGAGACCGCGGCTACTTGCAGCGTCCTGCGACTCCTCGAACAGGGACGCCTGCTATCCCCGCCCGGCCTGCTTCCCCCCTGCGCCACCAGCGCCTTGGGCTCGGCCTTGCGAGCCCCTAGCCTCGCGAGCCGCACCGGCGGCTCAGGATCAGGGACGGCGGGAGGCTCCCCACACCATCCGGCCGTCAGCAGCGCGGCCGCCGGCCCGGCTCATCCTTCGCCCGGCGGGCACAACCTCTTTAGCCTCCCGGTGCCTACCCTGCTAGGCTCGGTGGCCAGCCGGCTCTCCTCCAACCCGTTAGCAATGGCCGGGTCTCTGGCCGGGAACTTGCAAGAACTGTCGGCCCGATATCTGAGCTCCTCTGCCTTCGAGCCCTACTCCCGGACCGCCAGTAAAGAAAGCGCGGAAAAAAAGGCGCTGGACTGACTCTCGGGGACTTTCGCTGTATTTATATTTATCCTCTCTGTTTGTGTTGATTATTTATGGAGTCTCCGTGCGTTAGATGCCCCCTCTTGCCCAATATACCTTGAACCCATCCACATGCTCTTTCATCACGGTTCCTGCTCCCCCCAATCCTCTACCCCCTCCCGCCCGCGCATTTCAAATCGGGAGCCTCCCCGCTTTCATTCGGGGCGCCCGACCCTTGAAAACCCTCGAGAAACGCTGGCCAGGAAAAGCAACTCGCCGAAGTCACGCGGCTGGCAGTAAACAGACAGAGGGAACCCGCTAAACGGCTCGCGAGCTGTTAAAAGTGGGAAGGAGGGGCGGGGAGAGGGCGATGAAGAAGCGCCGAAGGCCGCGTCCGGTTTAGAAACGGGGCGGGGTGGTGCGCCTAAAACTGAGGAGATGCGTTTGGGGGGGCAGGAGAAGAGGGGTCTGAATTGCTGGACGCGGACGCCCTTTCCTTCAAGTTGACGGCCAACGCGAGAAAGAAGCTTTGACTTTGAAAGGGGGGTGGGTGGGACCGGGTATTCGGGAAGAGGCTTGAAGGGTTGGTTGGAGCTGAAGTGTATTTTGTGCAGGGAAGGTGGGGCTGCCTGCGCGTTCGTAGCCCTACGGATCCTCTTATTCCAGCCTGCCAGGCGGATGTTGGTTACTCAGTCTTGTAGTAAAGCACAAATCTAAGAAAGGCCCTCTTTCTCAACAAGGGCAACGGTACCCTACCAAGGGATAACTTATTTTGCACATCATCCTGAAGATGCGCGCCTCCTCCTCCCCGACGTCTGTATGCCCCAATGCCAGACTGAACTCTCGGGCACGAAATCTATTGACTTAAGTTGAAGGAGGCGCGCTGCGGGTATTCAGCAGTTTCACTTCAATGGGATTTACTTCCGGTAAGTGTGCGTAGGATTCCAGTCTCATTTCCAAGTTGTGAATGTGGGTGTAAGCCAAGTTAAGGCCAACCGTCCTTTCAGGTAACGCAGCTGGGAACTGACTTAGCTTTGAAACAATTGACCCACGAATGCTTACGATGAAAGCTCACTTTAAGTAAATGCCAACTTGGTTCAATTTAAGGAATGTTGCAGTCATCTTCCAATTCCACCGTCCCCCACTCCTCAGAAAAATAATAAGGTTTTGCATTAGGCTTACAGACTTAACAGCGCTTGCATCTAAAGTCTAGCCTATTTTTTTAACAAAAATAACCTATTTTTCTTTGTTAAAGTCTGGAAGGAAACCAGATAGAAATATACACATATCAGCTGTGTGCACACCCCTCATTAACAATATATGGATGCAAAAAATTAGAGCTTTAAAAAAATCCTTACATACAAGCTGTTTTAAACAATCAGGATTTGGTCTCTACAAAACAAAAAGAATAATTCCAAGGCAGCATTATAGAATTACTGATGTGCCTGCAGTTTCAGCGCTCTCCTAAATCCAAACAGAATATATTCAACATTGAACGTAAACTGGAAGCATCGATTTTTGCCCCCTTTGATTTTCTTTGGTAATGTTTATTCCTAAATCAAACCTAATGCAAAATGAAAAGTACAGTAGTATTCTGTTTGATTTTGTATTAATTTTGTGCTCTTATGTAATAATTGTCATTGTACCTTATTTGAAAATCTCCCCATTAACCACAGATTTATTCCTGGCTGCTGCTGCTGTTTTTTTACTTGATTTTATAAATTTTTCAGAAGCAGCAAATGAAAACAAGTTATCATATAATAACTAGCTATTTTTTACCTGTTTTCTTTTGTTTTTGGAGGCAGAAAGATTGGAAATCTCTTGATACTTTGTGTTTACACTGTACAAAATACGTGCCATCAAACTTTTCAATCCAAAAAGAAAAAGCAAATAATAATAATAATAAATAAAAATGAAATGGCTGATGTAGTACACATAGAGTTTACTTTAGAGCAGAAAGAACAAGAGAGAGCATAACTTGAAAACTGTCACAATAATTTTATTGTAAATTATTTACGTCTGAAGTTTTAGGCATCTAGTGCAGAAAAAAAATATGAATGAATCTGTGGGTGAAGGTGAGCCCTTGTTACTAACTTTTATTTGGAATGTTCTGGATATTTGACTGTTTTGTATTTATGTGGTGAGAGTGAAATATATCTATATGATGACAGATCGCTATTTTCGTCTTCTGTTTAGAACTCCCTGGAATACTTTCAACCCACTTGTGTAAGGCAAAAGATATAACTCCATAAGTTGTGATGTTCAGCAATCAACTCTGTACAGTATCTGAACATGTGCCTCTGCAGGGTATACATCCAAATGGCATCTTGAATAGCTAAATATATAGTAAGGTGGAGGTTGGTTGTGATGCTTTCAATTACTCATTTTCAAAGAATTGAAATTGTGCACCTCTTTATAACTGCAAGACGTTATTCTTAGTGTATTATATTGGCCAGTATATTTGATTCTGCATAACTTAACTCATTTAGTGTCAGACAGTTTCACCAAAGTAGGATTACAGAATCTGCTTCCTATTAGTTCATACATCAACCGTCCAAGAGAATCTGGGATGGGAAAGGGAGGCAAGTCAGAGAATTGCCAAAATCGGTCTGATTCTCATCTATTTTTTTCCCTGAATCTTGTTGATCTATTCTTACTTTTGTGTCCCTGGGATTAAAAGTCTTGATAGTTCAAAAGGAATATTTAATTTCAATGGAGTTTCTGAAGGAGTGAAAGTGACTAATCATTACACAATCTCAATCACTCTTCATTTTTCATTGCATTTATTTACTTATTCACTTGGAAGTAAAACCCATTGAAATAAATACAGCTTACTTTTAAGTAGATACTCAGACAACTGCATTGTAAAATTGACTTTACACCAAACTGTAAATCTTACTTAATCAGCAGAAAAAAGTCTGTAAGATTTTTAAAATAAACATGAATCAATTTCATTTGAAGCACTATGGGGGGTGGTCTCATTCAGAGATCTTCCTTCATTCCTTCCTTCTTTCCTTCCTTCCTTCCTCCCTTCCTCCCTGCCTCCCACCCTCCCTCCAATATACCATCCAAACCCATTTTATTATAATTCATAAATATATTCCCTTACTAATTGTATATTTCATGTGATCTTAACCATTGCCTTATGATAGTTTTTTGACATAACAACATTGCTTCAAACTTAAGTAAAAATTCCCTCCCTTTCCTTTTTTCAGATTTGAGGGACTGTATTTTTGCTTAGGGTAACATTAAGAAGGATATAATATATAAGACCATATTTGTGCACTATTTCACTGCATGGTCATTTATGGATCTGGTATCTTACAGTATGTAAGCTTTCTATTATTAGTGTGTAAGAAAAAATGGGCTTGGACAAAAGCAATACTTATAAACAAGGGGATGGAGGAATGAAACAAAGACTTCTGCTAAAGAAGTCTGACACCCTGTGATCCTAATCTAGTTCTTGGAAGTGACTGGGACCAGAGGTGAGACTGGAAATGCTTTAAAGCTATGTAAATCAATTAAGAAAATCTGGCTGCAACAATATCGTTGTTTTCCTGTGTTTATATATTTCGTTATTCTGAAATTTTAAATAATATGAGGAATTATTGCTGTTTGAGGAATACTTTGTTTGCTTTTTTTCTTGCCACCCATGTTAATTTAAGAAAATGAACACATACATACAAATGCATAATTACACAGAAAGATAAATTCTACCATGAGGTTGATCCAGTTAATATATGACTTCTGCAACCTCCCCCACATCAAGCACTTCCCTGTAATCAGGCTGCTTCCTATCATATCTTCTATTGTAAACGCATGAATCACGTTACTTGCTTCCAATCAGGCTAACCAGGGACTGTGTTTCTGATTGCGTTTGCATCAGGAAAAAAAAAACTTCAACAACTCAGAGTTTAATCATGTCAGTTCCTTCCCTAATAAGATGTGAGATTGTAAGGCTAACATAACTGGACTGTAAAAATCTCAACAATCACTCTTGGCTGCCATGTAGTGTTCATCTGGATTTTTATAGTTTAAATACAATATCCTTTAGTTGTAAGGGCAACATTGCCTAATCCCAAATTGCTTCACCAATAAGGAGATAACTTTGCACCTATATTTTTTTTTATGATATCAGCCACATAAAGTACCTTTTCATGTATAAAGATGACTGCTAGGTTCATTCGTATAAAATAGTGTTTCTTATAATGTTTGAGCTTATCATGCAGGTGTGGTTTGAGCAGCTGGGGAAACAAAGCACTAGTTACAGTATACGTTATCAAAATAATTGAAAACATGAAAATAATTTCTAGGAAAGTGAAAAAGAACATATGGCTCTCAAGATGTTATTCCTACACTCAGAAAAAGATTTCCTTTTAATATGTTTGATTGGTTTTTAGTCAATATTTTGTATAAAGCTGCAATATTTTTAGTACAAGAACCAAGGTGATAGCACTCTTCCTGATCTGACAATAGATAGATAGGTAGATAAATATACATCCTGATTCTAACCAGAGATAGAGAAGAGCCAAAAAAAAAAAAAAAAAAGATCAGGGATAACATAATTTGTTTTGAAACCAGTAATAAGTGGAAATAGTTGACTGGTTTGTAAAATATATAAATTAACCTCTCATATGTTCAGGAAAGTTTACAATATCTTTTAAATCTTTTGAGATTACTTAAATAAGTACAAATGATACATTATTAATGACAACATGAAAGCCACTGGAAGACCAGAAGAAAGAAAATGATACCAGCAGTTAAGAAATGTCAAGCCTTTGAGGTAGGCCAGATCATGAAACAGTGCAAAGACTATAGGAGAGTATGATAGCAGCTGGAAAGACTGCAAATTTTCCCTCTGTGTCCTTTTGTACCAAACAAAGTCAAAGAGCACATGTTTTGAGTTTCTTTCTCATGCTTTGTCCTTTCCCAGAACTGAGTTGCCTTTACTCCTGCATATCTTCTTCATGTTTTGAAGTGTTTAAGGGTCCTTCTACGAGAGGCCTGGGAAAAGAAAAATAAGTGTCTCAGTATCTGTAACAGTTTCCAGAAAATTATGGCTCTCTAGATGTCACTGCACTAACAATTCCTAGTATTGCTACTTAGGGGATACCTGGA